GGGGATTTATTCCACGAAAATGTTTGCTGAAAGTGGTCCAGAGAATTGACCAGGTCACTGATCAGGCAAAAAGACCTATTAGCAGCACGAAACTTTCTTTTAAGAGTACACCTTAACTTGATACCATGTCAGTGGTAAGAACCATATCAGGATTACTGCCTTATTCTTTAAAAACTGATGGCATCACTAGTGTACAGTATCTGATAATGTTTCTTTAAAAATTAAAAAGGGAATTACTGGGATTTGTAGTCCCGGAGTAACATTCCTAGATTCTACCATATTCTGTTTAAAATATAAATCACAGTGGGTCTTCAGGTGGGGCGGAGTACCTACTCACTGTCTGGATAGCTCAGTGATTTAGATCTCTGGCTGCAGAGCCAGAGGTTGGGAGTTTGATTCCCCCACCCGGCCTTCTGTGGAGAAGAGCCAGCCTATGTGGCCTTGGGCAAGCTGCACACTCCCTGAGCACCCCCGGAAGAAGGGAATTGTAAAAACCACTTCTGAGTACTTTTCACCTAGGAAACCCTGGAAAGGGACACCATAAGTCAGAATTGACTTCACAGCACATGATTATTATTTACCCTTATAATACAACTTTAACAGCAAACTGAATACCATATAATGATTTCAGTTGAGAACGTTGCTATTCTCATGCCTTCTTTCTAAAGTAAGCCTTCGTATAAGCAGCCCCAATGTCTAAATGAGCTGCCTGGATAGCTCAGGGTTTTAGAAATCTGGCTGTTCGATCCCCCATTTGGGCCTCCCAGAAGAGCCAGCCTGTGTGAACCTGGGCCAGCTGCACAGTCCCAGGGCCCCCCCCCCCCCCCCAGAAGAAAGGAATGATGGACCACTTCGGAGTATCCTTTACCTGGGAAACCCTGGAAAAGGTCGCCATAACTCGGAATTGACTGGGCGACGCGCCCGCACGCACCGATTTTACACCTCGTGCCGATCGGTGATCTAAGGTGCCAGGGAATGCTGCCCCGTTTCCCGTGGCAAGGAGTTCCGCATACTCACCCGCCAAGATGCCCAGCAGGAAAAGCGCCAGGAGAGCGAGGCCGCTCAGCCAGCTGCAGAGAGACA